TAGACACCGTATATACATCTGATGAAAGGCAGCTGTCATCCAGGTACCAGTCTAAATAAGCAAGATAGATAATGAGTGGCAGAAGTGTAGGGAGCTGCAGCTACCTTCCTTGGTGATAGATTTTGTAGGAGAAATCAGGAATCCTGTTTTTCTGTTTACTGGTTCACTCCAATGGGATTCGCTGTGGAACATTTGAGGAAAATGACAGTTAATACTTCTTGTTCAGACATTGGTTAAAAATTCAAAATACATGATCTCAAACATTCAGTGAGATTTAATAAGAGTGATCCATTTTTATTTTTAAATTCCCACTGGCATGCTGAAATTTTAGAAAAAGTCCTTAATTTCCAATAAATGCTGGTAACTGTTCCCTAATACTTTGAAAAAACAGCAAAGAAAACTGATATATAAATTCAATCTGTCTAGTGTTTCAAACACAAAATATCAAGTGAGACAAAGAGTAAATTCTAAAATAAAGTGTATATAGTTTGTTTTTGAAAATATCGGTTTTTGAAGGCTGCTTATGAATGTTCAGGGAAGGAAAAAAGTAGAAGTGTTTGACAGTGACAGTGATTTGATATCTGAATCATTTGTTTAGTACTGCAAAATATAGTCATGCTCCTTTGCACTTGCTTCATTTCTCTCCTAGGAAGGAGCAGAGTCTGTAACAATAAGAATCTGCCAAACATATTATGACACTACAGATTGTTATTCTCTTTCTAGACCTAAAGCAAATCTTTTACAGGGACAATCTGTGCCTAATGCCTGCTGTTATTGAAAACCAGCAAAGGGGCTGGTTCGGAACAATTTCAGTCACTTAAAGATGATCATATCCAGAGGAAGAAACAAACTATGAATAAATTGACTAACAAGTTATTTATTGGCTGACCTAAAAGAGTGGAAATAGTAAACTTTGAGGGTTAAACTTTTAGCTCTGAAAGTTCGTTAGCTGGACCGCAGCATGTTGTAAGGTCCTTTATATGTATCTGGACATTTATGTTAATCTATGTTTTTACAGTTTACTGTTGGAATGTCATCAGTATATTTACAGCAACTTTTTTTTTTCCTAATTTCAGTCTAAATATGAGGTGTTTTTTTTCTTTAAAAATATAAAACCCATTACTTTGATTTCAAAGATCTGTTTCAACAACTGACAAAAAAGGTTATGAAGGTAACATTAAATAGACTTAAAAAAATTACTTGAATTTTTTGGAAAAAGCATAAAGAAAGCATAAAGTGACTGTGAAAATATGAGTTTTACTTTTATCCTACTTTTTGTGGTTTCTTGAGATCATAATTTCAGAAGAAACTACAAAAATATGACTATAACCCTCAAACTCTGACTCTTTTCTTGTTGTCGTTTTGTGTGTTAACATTTGAGCTACCCTATAATCAGCAATGGAAATTAAAAAATATATTTTTTAGAGTCAAACTTGTTTGTTTTAGGCTTCACTTACTGGTGGCACAGGAATTCAGGCAGTTTGTTGTTTCATCGCTTTGATGGCAGAGACTTCCTAACAAGAAAATCAACCATAGGAAAACTTATTTTTCTTGACTTTAACCGGAGGATATGTAGGTAATTTCTAGAAGACGTAGCAAAGTAGGAAGGATATCACTGAATGCAGCAAGAACAGAAAGCATCTGGCTATTTGACCTGTGCCATTAATGTTTAGGTTTTATGCTGCTTGACACATTTTTAAAAGCCCCCATTGTTTGTAGAAAAAAATACTACAAATGTTTTCTAATCTCTGGTTGCTGGAAGTCTTTTTGCCTTTCCACAGAAACAATGAGGCTGAAAGCAAACAGAAAGGTGACTAACTTTAACTTGGTGTGGTGTATGGATGAGCATCATGACATAACCATACTGGTAGTACTGGTAGTGACAGGATGCTGTATGAGTGGAGTGCCGAACTTAGTGTCATGACCTTATCTCCATTAGGCAAATTTGTCTGTAAAGTATGAGTAAGAAACAAATGGAAGATTGTACAGTTAATAATGCTCCTGGGGTGTGGGGGTTAGTTTAAGATAATGTAATACGAAGGGGGGCAGTGTCAGCTGGAAAGCACCGAGAGTGCTTGGGGGTGTTTTACTGAAATCACAGAATCACAGGATTTCTAGGTTGGAAGAGACCTCAAGATCATCGAGTCCAACCTCTGACCTAACACTAACAGTCCCCACTAAACCATATCCCTAAGCTCTACATCTAAACATCTTTTAAAGACTTCCAGGGATGGTGACTCCACCACCTCCCTGGGCAGCCCATTCCAATGCCTAACAACCCTTTCAGTAAAGAAGTTCTTCCTAACATCTAACCTAAACCTCCCCTGGCGCAACTTAAGCGCATTCCCCCTCGTCCTGTCACCAGGCACGTGGGAGAACAGGCCAACCCCCACCTCGCTACAGCCTCCTTTAAGGTATCTGTAAAGAGCAATAAGGTCACCCCTGAGCCTCCTTTTCTCCAGGCTGAACAAGCCCAGCTCCCACAGCCGCTCCTCGTAGGACTTGTTCTCCAGGCCCCTCACCAGCTTCGTCACCCTTCTCTGGACTTGCTCAAGCACCTCGATGTCCTTCTTGTAGCGAGGGGCCCAAAACTGAACACAGTACTCGAGGTGCGGCCTCACCAGAGCCGAGTACAGGGGGACGATCACCTCCCTAGCCCTGCTGGTCACGCTGTTTCTGATACAAGCCAGGATACCGTTGGCCTTCTTGGCCACCTGAGCACACCGCTGGCTCATATTCAACCAACTGTCCACCATCACTCCCAGGTCTTTCTCTGCCTGGCAGCTCTCCAACCACTCATCTCCCAGCCTGTAGCTCTGCTTGGGGTTATTGCGCCCCAGGTGCAGGACCCAGCACTTGGCCTTGTTGAACTTCATACAGTTGACCTCAGCCCATCGGTGCAGCCTATCCAGATCCTCCTGCAGAGCCTTCCTACCCTCGAGCAGATCGACACATGCGCATAGCTTGGTGTCATCTGCAAACTTACTGAGGGTGCACTCAATGCCCTCGTCCAGATCATTGATGAAGATATTAAAGAGGATCGGCCCCAGCACCGAGCCCTGAAAGAAAAGCTGCCAGCAGGACACCAAATAGAGTTTAAAGATCTCACCTATCTCACAGTTAATTTCCTTAGGAAAAAATCTCTCATCCAAACAGAGGCTGAAAGGGAAAGTTCTATGAGAATGATAGAAAAATATAGGAGAATTAGAGGGGAAAAAAAAAACAAACTAACTAAAAACAATAGTTTTACTTATAAATAGAATTAAGGGAGATAACTTTTTCTACCACAGACTGCAGAAGAATTTCTAGAGGGGGTAGCTGATGCCCCATGTTTTCCTAAGCCTGATTGATCAGCAGGATTCTGGCAGGTTCTGTTGGAGAAACAGTGCATAATTTTAAGCCTCCCACTTGGGAGGCAGTCATTCTTAAGTCTGCAATTTGGGTTGTTCTTGGCACCTAAACTGTTTCACAAGAAAATACACACACACACACAAATTTTATGTTTTAACCAGGTTATGCTTTGTTCTGAGGGAGAAAAAAAGTATTTAATAGAAAAACATGACCCAGGACTATGAGTAGGTTTGGGTAAAGTTGAAGTTGGTGGGATAAGACCAAACAAATAATAGCAACAACGACACAATAAATAAATAAACAAATAAATATCTGTACAACAGAAATACCTGAGAGATATGTTGGTATGTCACATCAAGGCTTTCACCAACATTGCCTTCCTGACCACCATAAGATGCCATGAAATTATGATCAGCCTAGGAAAAGTTATACCTCATTTTAGTTAGACTGGAAATCCAGGTGGGGTCTTCTGCATTGATGTCCAATGGACATTGAAGGCAATTCTTAATAGTCATCTGTAAATAGGATGAGGTAGCTGAAGCGCTATGACAGTAAGTGCAAATGTAAGCTGTCCAACTCTAAGGCTGTCAGTCTTATTGCAAAATTGAAGTCGACACCAGAGACCCGTGTCTTTTCGGTACTTGGTCACTATCAAAAATAGAATGCCCCTATCCTCACATAAGATAGGAAGCCTGTCTTGTAGTACTAATCTTTGTGGCCATCTTGTTTAGACAAAGTAAAAAAGCATGTATTTTCCTACCAATATACAGATAAAATTTTAAAGCTATAAACACTAATCAAAATAAGACTACAGAAAAATTAACAGCAACTTTGAAACATATTAGTATCAGAGTGTGAGTGCCTGGTTACTCTTTTTCTGTTCCTTTTTGTCTTTATTGCAAAGTGCTGCAAAACTAAAATTCCATACCTTTTCTGCTATATATTTTCACAGTTTTTTTCACCAGCTGTCAATATTTAGTAGTTTCTGCACAGTCAATTGGATGTTGAAGGAAAGTAATTGGAATTCAAATCCGAACTAAACAATAAACATGTAAATGATAATTTTGATTGTCAAATCTGCTGTAGGCAGAACAGAATTAAGGAAAACAGCCATCCTCTGTTACTAACTTAAGGGCAACAATGCAAAGGAAGATCTCTCAGTACTACTAACCAATATTCTGTTAAAAGGTCTCATATTGACCATCTGTATTGTGCATAAAATGATTAAAAATACATGGTAGATTGTGTGACTGCTTAGAGAGAAACATTGGAGATGTTGATTATGTTTAATTCAATGTGTTCACCTGGTTTCTATCAAAAGTAGGGGTAATTAGTAGGGGTACGAAAACCTAGGGAAAAGTAAAACCACAGCTTTCTTTTAACTTCAGTATTCCATGGTATGTACTTGTTACCCACCTCTTTCTCCATGGAATTTAAGTCTAATGTAAATGTACAAGTTGTGTATGAGTAAGCCTAGATTCCTCAAACATGTTTTCATCTTTTATTATTCCAAAATAATTGGAAATTACTAGGATTGGCTATAGTTCTTTTCTGCATGTATAAGTTGTACAGCACTGTTAGCAAACAGAAAACTTTCAGCTGCTTTATACGTCCACCTTCTAAGGTAAATGCCACTTTTGTACTTTCAGGATGTAGAATGTGGTTAATGGAGGAGAGGAAGAGAAGACAAATAATAAAAGCAAGGACCTTTGGTAAATACCTGGACATAGACAGTGGGCAAAGGAAAAAAAGGTAAGAACAATTCTAGAACACAATAGGTGTTGTCTTTGATCACAGAAGTCAAGTGGAGAGTGATTTTTCATTCTGTGCTTATATAATACATGCCAGCAAGATGGCCAGATCAATTGTAAGTATCATAATACAACGAAGTATTATAACAATTAAATTGAAGGTACAACTAAGTGAGAGTTACATAATATTATTCCTTATCATCGAGCACTATGTACTGTGTAGGTAAATATCACTAATTCTATTGTGTAGAGGGAGGTATATATATGATCCAAATACTTTGTGGAAGTGTGAGGTATTCTCCAATAGATTATTTCACGAGAGGTACTAAACAGGTACAGTACACTGAACTGCTAATAATGATGTGAAGGTGCTCTGTTCTCAAACTTGGGGTTAAATGTGTTATTGTTTTACCATGTTTTTAATATGTAAATTTTAAGATAAAATCATTGAATTCATTAAAAAAAAAAAAAAAAAAAAAAAAAAAGGATAATGTAACAGTCAAAGTTTAAGCTTGAGATTTGGAGAGCAAATCCCGTCTACCAACTTGTGTGGTTGACAAGCAAGGCTCACATTCAAAAGGTTCTCAGATTTAGGAGGCTGTTTCATGTGACTAAATGCAGTAGGCTGAAGGCGGCCACTACTTTCTTCATGTAATCTAATGTATTATCTAGGTCTGAAATCTTTCAAGTCTGAACAGTATTTGTTTCTGGTCAGTGCTATTAGTCATTGTTCTAATACATATACTACAGAATTTGGGCTAATGCTTTACAAAGTATACAACATGCTCAGGTTAATATCAATAAAGAATAGACAATTCCTTTGCCAACAAACAAACAACAACAACAAACCTTCTGCAGAGTTCAAGGCAATGATAAATTCAGCTTTATTCAGTGACCTAAGAGCTTCTTGGTATGAAAGGTTATTTCACCTATAAACATCTGCTTTTAATCTGCTTTTGCACTATGACTTCTTAAACGATACCATCATTTTTTTAGACTTTTCCTACTAGAACTATTCAGCTTTTATCAAAATTGGTAATATTGCACTGCTTTTTGCCACTCAGAAAAATGATAATTTAAAGCAATGTTATAAAGCACTTCATGAAATAACATGTTTTTATTGCCTTGTTTTTGCAACTTGTTTTTGTTTACCTGTAAAATAGTCAATGGGACCAAGTAATACAGTGAAGTTCAGGATAAGTTTGCTATTCTTTAAATTATATAACTCACTAAAATGAAGGCTATATTAAAGCCAAAAGCTCAGTATTACTAAGAGTTGGTTGATATTGCATATCTAAGAGAGAACTTTAATGGGTTATGTCTTCCCCTAAATAGCTAGTGTAATGCTGAATTTGAAACCTGATACTTTACTGGGAACATTACATGACTCTGTGTACTAGTTTCCACTGTGTCAATTTTGCAAATCATAACTGCTACTGCAAAGAATATTCAAATGCTTATTATTATGCAAAAATTTGCATTGCTCTCAAGACAGTGTATTCCCAGAAATAATGCTGTTGTTGTTGTTAATTTTCTATTAATCTGGAGACAAAAACCCCATTTGTAAGTGTGATGTTGAATATACATATGAATAGATGTTGGTGGCTAAAGATGACCTATCTGATCTGTGAATTTCTGAACATGGGTTGGGAACATCAGTCATTAATGCCACTCAGCTAAGAAGTGAACAATTTTATGGAATTCATTTTAGTCCCAGAGCACCAACTCCTGCATTTATTAGTTTCAGTATGCAAAATCTAACACTATTCATCATCTCCAGTCAATGGCAGTGAAAAGAATTCTATGTGCTCCTTCTGTTGATTACGCCGAAAGATTTGGTCATTGCCTTAACTTAACTGTGTGTTTTCAGACAGATATTAGCCCTGGTTTCTTCTGTGGCAATTCTGCTGTCAGGCAGTATCTTTCCTTAGATTGCCATGGTATATGTCTTCAGAAATTGTCAGTGCAAACAACTTGCTTCTTAGAAATTTTTGTAACAGAAGTATCTTTATTTTTACAAGTCATTAAATGTCTGTATCCACCTCTATGTGGATGTTTTCTGTGGGTTTTTGAATACAAAAATCCTTAGGAATTCACTCAGAAGTTACAGATCTCACTCATATTGTCCAGTCATTCAATTCTTGAAGAGCTTGTGCCTTCGTACTGGTTCTGGCATCTGTTAGACTGGTGGTTTGTGGAACCCTGCACAAAGTTTTGCAAGCCCTCTGTGTTTTTCACTACTGCAGCTACATTTAATGTCGAGCTTGTGTACTGAAGGAAGTTTTTACCAACAGGTAAACTTCATTACCTAAATTAGCAGGATTGACAAAGATGACACGAAATGCTGAGGATAAGGCAAACTGCCTCAGCAAAGAGACTCAGCTCTTCCAGGTAGAACTCAGAGCTATAAATACCCTTAGGGAGGTGGCTGTGCCAAACAAACAAAACACCCCACAAAATATTATTCTTGCTTATATTTCATGTCCTTCATCTACAAAAAACAGTTTTCTCACAGCTCAGTCCCTGCATAGTGAAATCAGATGAGTTCTACTATTCCGCTGAAAAGCAAATATAGATTAATTTAAACCACAGCTGAAAAGGCTAAAGGAACTAAATTTTGCTGAATGAGCTTCATCCAGCTCTCAGCTTCTGTGTTTTAGAACCTGGTTTACTAATGACTGTTGTTTACCCTAATGCATAACTGTAAATGTTTTTGACTCTGTATTACATTGAAATAGAGGAAAATCTGTTGAAACATAAGAAAGAAACTTTTTTGCTGTCAGAGAAATTGAACATTAGGACAGGTTGTCCAGAGGTTGTGGAGTCTCCATCCTGGGGGATATGGAAGAGCTGACTGGAAAAGGTGCTGAACAACATGCTCTTGGTCTGCTAAAGCATGAGCAGATGTTGGGTCAGATGGTCCCTCCCAGCCTCAGCGATTCCACGATTTGGTAAGATGTTTTTAGCTTCCAAAAGAAGGGATAGCATCATGATTCCAAGAGCCAAACATGCCTCATATGTGAATCACATCCTTCATGTAAGGCTGCACTAAAAGGTTTTAAATATGTTCTCATTATCTTTGTGTGAATTTAGCCAAGGGAGAAACACAATCTTTCAGTTTTAAGTCATACTAATGAATACCTGGGGGTAGGGGGAATGGCAGGTGATTCCAAGGCAAATGGCCAAACATACATTTAGTCACTCATGAAACATTTAATTCAATGTATATAAAAAAGCTATAAATAATCAAGTTCCTTTTCTTTCTGGCATAATATTTGTAAATATCACTGAAAAGATTGCATACATCCAACGACATTTGTAATTGAATTAAAAGATTAAGAAAAGTTGTTCACTAAGAGATGTGCGTGTGAGAAATTTATGGCATCTCTACTTTCTCCTTACAGATTAATAAGAAATGTACTATGAATGCAGCAGAGATAACAAAAGAAGTAGCAAATTGTTGCTAGGAAAAAAAAAAAAAAAAAAAAAAAAGAAGTATATGACCAAAGATCAAACAACAAAGGAGGCTAAAATTGAAAGATCAATGTGGCCTGGGGCTGCTGAACTCCCCGTTTTCAAACGCAAAGCAAATCCAAGCATAAGCTGTGTTAGCTGTAAAGAACTTGTACCCACTTTCTACGTGAGGTTCTCTATTACATAGCAAAAAATGACCTTTAAACTACCTTGACAGATAGCAGCTGAATAGAAAATTACAGTCATTAATAGGATATCTAGAGAGCAGACTATTGAAAAAAAAAAAAAAAAAAAAAAGATGAAAAGATACTAAAAGGCAGATGTTAACAATTTGCAACCCCAAAAGACAGCTACAATAAAACCCTACATTTCCAGTGTTCTGAAAAATAGTTATTGAGATTCAGCATAACATACAAACAAAAGGTGGATGTATTTTTCTGTCTCTAGAGCCAAGCATTACAGGGACTAGGATGCTAGGATGTTGCATTACGAAGTCTAAAAAATATTCAGATTATTCAAATAAAAATTGTTATAAAAATGCAGTGATTTGTATCTGATGAAAACGAAGGTTCTAAATGAAATCAGTTTAATCTAGTCCAGTCCAGGTAATTCTGTTAGTTGAAAAATGTATTATGTTTAGATATTTAATGTTTTTGAGCTTCTTAAAACCAATGCAAGACAAAAAAAAACTAACAAGCAAATAAAAAAAAAAACAACTAGAAATCTAGATGGTAGTTGACCTAAAGAACAAAGCTAATTAACTTAAGCCTTTCTTTTTGAATTTCCATATCAACACAGACAAAATTTTAGTAATGTACCTAGTCAAGGCTGGATTGTACAGGTTTTTGTTCTGTGCATAAATTCAGGAGAACCATATCAGAATATGTTTACAAGTCAATTTAGTTTATTGACCAGAAAAGAAATCACGTATAATCATTCAGTGATAGTTTTACTATTAATTCATGTCACTTGATGGAGCATCTGGGAATATGAAACTGAGCAATTCTGAAACCTGTAAAGTCATAATATTTTTGGTCATTGAAATCTCCTGTCAAAATTATTAACAGTGTCTGTGTTGGGTCTGTGAAACAGTGAATTTCAAATGGAGCAGAAAGTTTCAGACGGACAGTGAACTTCTTAGGCATTCATGGTCAGCTGGAACGGCAGCATGGAACAGTATGTGTCTTCCTTTGCATGCCACCACAGATTTTTGGCGCTTTCCTGGCAAAAAGATAATAAAAATTGTAAGGAACTCAGAGGAGTACCAAGAAAGAGGAAACTGAAGACTGAAATTAATAAAGAACAAATTATAAGTGTACTATAAATACAATTTGCAAAACATGGCTATTTTATTTAGAATAAGGTTTACCACTTAAAAAAAAAAAAAAAGTACTAAATTTAGCTTAGTGAAAAATAAAATCTGCATATGCAGAGAATGAAATTTAATGAACTAGCTAAGTTTTTTCCTTTTCTTAGATATATCTCTTTTTTTTGTTTCACAAGTTACTGAAAATACATATCAAAAGC